TAGTAAGCATTTAATTTCAATCATTAATTGAAAGTGTACTCAATTTTGCACATATACGCCTTCGTATATTCTAAGTCTAGATCAGAAAAGATCAAAAATTCCGTTGACATTTTATTAAAAGCAATTTTAGACCTTGTGGAATTTGTAATTTCAACAGTTATGGAAACACTACCTTCTGGAACAGCAATAATAATAATAGCAATGACAGTAATGACAACAACAATGATGATAATAAAAACCATTCAGAGATTTGCAATAAATCATATAAATCATATGGAACAAAAAGCAGTTTAATCCAATACAAAAAGCAGTCATCTATGAAGAATATCCTTTAAATGTTCCTCTTCCTTCCAATAAATAAAATTTAATTTTAATATTAAAAAAATTGTCTTTATATTATAAAAATTTGGGGAAAGATCATTTACTATTTCATGTAGTGGGATTATGACTATTTACTTTATTTTATTCATTACATGTGACATTAATACAATATTATATACATGGATGTCAAAAGAATTTCAAAAGTAGTTCTATAATAATTGTTAATATATTTATTATTTATTTATATTTCTTATTATTAGATAAATATGATAAATAGAATAAAAATATACTTATATTTGGTAAACGTGGGGGAAAACTTGTATATTTTTTATGAGGTTAAATATTGATAAATAAATCAATTAAACCCACGTTTTACCTAGCAAAACACGAACTTTTACGTACATGAATTTAGAATCAAATGCAAATGGCATTTCATCAACAGTGTTTCATGAATTAAATGCGATGGCATTTCATCAACAAACCCAAATCAATTAATGTTAATATTATTTTCTTTATTTTCTTTTATACATAGTAATAAACGTCAATATTTAAAATGAACAATTTTTAAAAAATATGATACACAAAGATGAGATTTTTTTTTTTTTTTTTTTTTTTTTTTACAAACCAAAATCTATTTAAAATCAACTACACCAAAACCCCAATGAAACTTTTTTAAAACAAGAGTTCTGATTCCGTTAATATGTTATGGCAAAAAAATCAATTATTATCCCATGGCTCCTTTTTAACAAAATTGATAAAAAAGCACATACAATCCTTCAAAGTAGTCCATAATCTGAATCACAAATCTATCCTGGGAAACCTGAGAAAAGGTAATTATTGTAAACTTATTTCTTTTACTTGATGTGTAAATGATGATTAAGGCATTTGTCTGTTTCATGATGAAAAATTATGACAGCTACCTATTTTCAATAGTCTATTGGCTGATATATATTAACTTATTTAATTATTATAAATTCTAATTTTATCAAACTAATTGTTCTTTTTATATTAAAAATTTATAAACATAGCAATCATTTCTTATAAATAATGATTTTATTATTGTAAATAACATACACAATCCATAATCAAATTTATATCAGTTATACATAAAAATAAAGTAGTTAAAAAGAATATATATATGACAAAAGATTATAACATTTTCTTTTTTAACGATAATATTATAATTACTAAATAAAAATAAGTAAATAAATAATCAATCAATTTAATCTAATAATGATTTATCATAATTTTTTGATGGCATTGGTTGTTGTGGTTGTTGATAATCATTAGTAAAGTTTTGAGGAGGAATTGTAGGTAAAACTGATGAAGTTTGATGATTTAATTGTATTTGTTGATATGTATTATTATTATTATTATTAAATGGAACAGTATTTTGATAATATTGGTTGGTGACTTGTGGAGATGGAATAGATGTAGTTTGATAATAATTTTGTTGCTGCTGTTGTATATTTGAGTTTTGCAAAGGTTGATTAAATCCTTGAGGTTGCAAAATATTTGTTTGATGTTGTTGAGGAAGTATAACAGATGGTGTAGGATAGTGTGGCAAACTTATTATATTAGCTTGTTTTGTGATTTGTTGCAACTGTTGTAATTTTTGTTGTTGCAGCTGTTGCTGTTGTAATTGTTGTAGTTGCAATTGTTGCTGTTGTAATTGTTGTTGTTGTAGCTGCTGCTGTTGTAGCTGTTGTTGTTTTAATTGCTGTTGTTGTAGCTGCTGCTGCTGCTGTTGCAATTGTTGCTGCTGCTGCTGCTGTAAATGTAGTTGTTGTAATTGCTGTTGTTGAAGTTGTGGTTTTTGAGGTGATTGAGATTGATTAAGGCCATAATTTAATGGAGCATATATTGGTAGTTGAGGCACTTGTGGAGCCTGTTGTAGTTGAGGCACTTGTGATAATTGTTGTGATTGAGTTTGTTGTTGTGGTGTTTGCAATGGTTGAGAAGTAGAACCATACAAACTTGTAGGTCTTGAAAAGGTTTTTTGTGATGGTTGCTGTTGTGGTGTTTGTTGTAATGGCTGAGAAGTAGAACCATACAAACTTGTAGGCCTTGAAAAGGTTTTTTGAGGTGGTTGTTGATATTGAAATTGTGGTGAACTGGTTGATGTATTGATTGATATAATAATGGAATATTTTAATTGTGTATCAATCAATTATTATTCTGATAAAGCTAGATATGAAATTTCATTGCCAAACAGTAAATTTTTAACATATGTAGAGTTATTTCAACAATCAAAAAGGGAATACGAAGAGTTTTCAGATGTTGAACTTGAACAATTTTCTATTTCAGAAGGATGGTTACCATTACATGAACAGTGTTGGTGTGCATTGAATATAATTAGAAACTTTTCTTTTACACATGATAATCATAAGTATTTGGCACATCATCCAAGAATGTTGGAAACATTTATGAAAATTTTATACCTTGGATTGGTTGATAATGATAATTATGATAATGGCCATGGTGATGGTAATAATAGTAAGGAAGAAGATGATAATAACAAAGACAATGATGATGACAATGATAGACAAAAATTTGATTTAACAATACCAAGTAAATCTTCAAAAACTGATTTACATAATAAAAAAAGATATGCAAGGAAAAAAGCTTATGATATATTAGAATATCGTAAAAGTGTTCTAATAATTTTATCAAATATTGCAGGATATGTTCTGATACCTTCAATACCAGTAGCAAGTGAACTTTTATTGATAATTTCAGATTTTCTAAATAATTCAGATGATTATTATGCACAGATAGCATTAGAAGTTTTATCCAAATTGACAGTCTCATATGAAAATAGACAGAAATTTGGTGAATGTGATGAAGATACATTGAAATCAATTTTTGAAAAACTTGTAAGATTGTTGCCAAAAGCTGAAAGTAATATTTTTGGTGGTGGCAATATTAGTAGCAGTAATAGTTCTTATAATAATAATTATTATAATAGCAATATTATAACTCATACATCATCAATTCAAGAATTACCATTCTTAGCTACCTTGATAATGTCGTTTTTTAATTTTGCAAGTTTAAGTAATGAAACTATGAAAAAAAGAATTATAACCACACCAGGATTTATAAATCGAATGCTTAAGATGACATTGGTATTGGCAAGTGTTAGAAATATTAGAACAGGTGTTAACGAAGTAGATTGTGTTATGTTAGCTAGAAGATCAATGGAAATGCTCAAAGTGTTGGCCAAAGGAAATAAAGAAAGTTTTCTTGTATATAATGAACAGTTATTAAATGCTTTATTAACTCCATATATTGATCCTGTTGTAGTAAAAGATCTAGAGGGTATTGTTATTTATCATGTTGATATATAAATATTATTACATGATGAAAAAATTTACATTCATTTTTTGAATGAAAATATAATAGATATATATATTATTTAATTATATAGTAAAAAAGCTTTAAAAAAATTAGTTAATTTTTGCCACTTGAGAATTCCAAATATATCGAATTTTTTAATAAAAAAGTTTAGATCATTTTATCGCTTTCTTTTCATATCATTTTTTTGTAATAATAGTAATAGTGGCAAATAAAAATAAAATAAATGTTATTATTACCCCTGTAAACTCACTGCGCATTTAACAATAGAGATTGGTGACCGCAGATGGGTTGAATACCCATGTTGGATGTTAATTATGACAAGATCTATTATTTTATTTCTGTAGTTGGTAATAATGAACAGATAATTGTTTAAATGACAATTTCACCAGAAACTACAGATGTATATCAATAGTAATAGTGGCATATGGTGCGCTGTATCTAAAGACATCAAAAAAATTGCAAATCTTTAAACCCTGATAGATTTGGAAATATTTGTCAGGCCACAAAAATC